GCCTTTATTACTCCTACTTTTTTTTTATCAGTCTCGATTGGCCAGTGCTATTAAAATCCTTGAGATGACAGAGTTTGTGTTTGGCTTGTTGCATGGGGTTGTGAAATGGAGGGGAGGATGATCATGAACAGGTTTCAGACTAGAAAGCATAGATGTCTTAGCTGAATCATAATGTTGAGATGTTAGAGAATTATCCTGTAACTAGTCACATAATACCTTCTGAATTTATTTAACAGGTGTGCCTTTGGGTATGCTGTATCAATGGTTAAACAAAGCATAAGATCAGTGTCATCTTGGTAATGGGTGCTATTATCAAACTATTTACCCACAGAAATGTAGCTACAATTTAAGCTTTAGGACAGATATTTGAAGATTTAAGGAGCTTGTATTATCTGCTGAAATAGTTATACAAAACAGTGTTATCTGACTGAAATAGCTGTACCTTTGAACCAGATGCTTTCAGATTCTGCATGTTAATGGCTTCCACATAGGGACTTACTATGCAGTAGTCACTCAGCACTTTGGGCAAATATGCCTCAGGCTTTTTGTCCCATCATAAGGTTCTTCTGTGAGGAGCACATCAGAAGCCACTCAAAGTGAGTGGGAATTACGGGGACTTAAAATCAAACTGTCACCTTTCATCATGCATCTCTTCCTGATTCATAAGCTGCTTTCATATGACATCCACTGAGCAGGGACAACCCTGTGATACAGTTGTAGTATTTTTAAGCATTGCAATACAACTGGTAGATCACTGTCCTTGTAGGTGGGCATCCTCCTGACTACCTCTGCCCCTGTCACAGCTGAGAGGGCAGGCTGGTCACCTGTTCTTGGGGTGCTGACAGGTTGTGCTCAAAGGACCTCTTCTCCTGAATTGTGTTCAGTGTAGCACAGCAGTGCTTCAGGCCTCATCTTAAGAGGGAGAGTGAGTAGAGGCTTCAGAAAACTGGGATGCCTTTCAGAAACTTGCATGTACCTGCAATAGTGGTACCTCTGAATGGGAGCTGTTCTCATGGGTTTGAAGTAGATGAATGAGCTGTTAAGCTCTTGTGTGAAGCATTGCTCCTATTAGGAATGTGCAAGGCTGGTCAGTTTTCCTGAGGCATTAGGAAATGGAGGAGCTAGGTGCTATACCACTATTCCTGCACTGTTTCTCCTGCAGGCTTAGTCAAAGCCTGGATAGTAACCTGTGGCTTAAGTCATAAAGATGATAAAGACTGGGCAAGTTCATTCTAGTGGGATCACTCTAACTCCCCTTTCTTAGGAAAGGGGGAGCAGCAGATCCTTTCTGAAGGGCATCAAGGGGTAAAACTGGTACTGGCACTTCCCTTGCTTTCTCAATGTCAGCTTATTTAGTTTCTTGGTGACTGCATTCTTCCAGTTGACCACTGGGATTGTGGAATGAATCCTGTCTGAACAGTAGAGCATGCCTTTAGGATACAGCAATATTTACCTTGCATAGATGCAAGAGAACCTTACCACAGGCCAAAAGAGTGAGTTCCAGAAGCTTTTGCAGCACTGTGAATCATAAGCCATCATCTTCAGAGTACAGTTGCCAGGGAAATAAGAATTGGAGATGACTTGTATATCTGCTTTGAAGTCTTAAGTAGTGCATGTAGAGATGGGGTTTAGTGCTATTGAGTCTTTGTCCATAGGATCTTACAGCAGGTAATTCTTGATGAAATTGTGCAATGTGAGTAATGGATTCCTGTGCTCTGAAGTTATTTTTTTATGGGGTTTTTAAAATGCAATCCCACAGCAATGCTGCTCTTCACTGCAAAAATGGGAATACAAAGCAAATCCAGCAAAGCCTATCAAGAGGCTTGTATTAAATACAGAGTGTGTTAATTAAGTCTTACCAAATAGACTAAATGCCAGGCAAGATGTACTGTTTTACTTGAGTGTATGCTCAGCCCTCGGTGCAGTAGTAGTCTGGGGCCAGGCATATGTTGCCAAGAATATTGCAAGCGAATAGAAGAAACTTGGTTTTGACCAAGACTACTTAGTACTGGAGAGGTCAATGGTGAGATTTTGTACTGGCCAACAAATTTACACTTCTCTTCTTGTAGTGCTACAGTCTTGCTCAACAGGTAAAGTTTGAAATGAATAGTAAAACAATGCAGGGAGGTGTAGCAGGTTATCTGGCTGATTTAGGAATACTAGAGTTGGCTCTCATTAATTGCTCTTTCTATTACAAGCTGAGAATTTCCATTGCAAGCTGCACATCTGCGATAGGTTGCCACATGTTGTAGTAAGGCATAAGTACTTGACATCTTTCTAAATGAAGGGGACATCAATATTACTGATCAAGCAGGATAAAAAATTAAACTATTCTTAAATGAACCCTGGCTTTGTTGATTTAACCTGAAGTCTTGAAGCCACTGGAAGCTGCAGCAGTTCTTTATTTGCATAACATTTAATTAAGCTTCATATGGTGTAGAAGATTGATGCAGTGATACTAAAAAAGGCTGTTCCTTCTTTTAAAGTGTCTGTGTCAAATTGAAATCGTATTCCCAAAACTCAGTTTGATGTTTTTCTGATTGCAAGGAAGATTAATGTTTCTTAAAATATTTTATAGCTGCTTTGTTAAACAAACTGACAGAGTGATGTGATTGGCATTTTCTTTTTGTATGTCACTAAACATGAAACTTAATCAGAAACAAAATTGAGATAGTCATGAAACCTGTGCTGAATTTATAACCAGGAGCGCTGTGAGACTTTGGTGCTTTAACATGTAGTTATGGAAAAACTGAAGGGGCAATAGCAAAGGAAGATGGTTGTAAAAGCAGGATTTCTTAACTAGGAGAACTTCAGGGCTTGTCCTCAAATGCTGTTATAAACAAAGCACCCCTCTAGTTTATGAAGTCAAAATGTAACTGCTTTCCTTAGAGACCACAGCAAAACATGCAGTCAGAAAACAGCTTATGTAGCTTCTGAAACTTGGTACCAGCTGGCAGACAGTTGTGTAAAGCCCAAGATCATCGTCCGAACCACTCAGCAGCAATGCATAAGAATTCTAACATGAAGTAACACTGGACTGTGTTTCCAGAAGTGTTGTTTCTCTCACTGTAAAGAAATCATGGATAATTACTGTGTTATGTCCTCTTGTTCCAGTTTGGTAATAGCTGTATGGCTCAGAACTCCTTTTTTTCTGTATTTCTGGTGTTGATATGCTGAAAGAGCAGTAACTTGGCAAAAGCTACACTAATACTCCATTAAATTTGCTCTGTAAGCAAGCCAAAACAAGCATTTATAGTAGGACCTGTAATAAAGGCTGGCAGATGTTAAACATGTGGGTATCCTGGGATTATTGTTGTACCCCTCCCTCATGCCTGCTGCTGAGGAGGGAGCAGTGAATTCCCATACCATAGTTGATAACCTTCCCCTGCTCTGGTATTCAGGTTACTTCAGCTGAAGCAGGGCATTTTTGGCTCAAAGCATGCCTGGTCTTTCCAAGACTAGTGGTCAAACTTTTTTTTTTTTTTTTTTTTTTTTTTATATATTTATTAGAAAAGCAGCCTTGCCTTTCTCTCTGCCTTTACAAAGCACAGCTAGCTAAGACTTCTGGTTCTCTGTTCTACCCCTCCCCTGTTCCTCATGGCTCAGGTTTCTCTTCCCATAACTTACACTTCCATTACAGCTTAATTAGTACATTCCTTCTAGCTCAAGGCTATTTGTCTTCATAATGCTTTACTAATGTTGTAATTCATTTTGTGAAGACAGTTGTGCATCAATGGCCCAGTCATATCATCTGATTTTTGTTGTTCATGACAATATTGAGTCTCTTCTATATTAACTGGCTGATAAGCCATCTTGCTGAGCAGGGGGTGGGTGGAATGTCCCCTCTCCTTCATACGGACTACACTTAGTTTAGTTACAGTAGTTTTCCACAGCCAGCCCTAGGATTATCTGCATGATGACAGTTTGGGACCAGATAGCAAATTCCTGGCACGTTTCCCAAATTTACTTCATGAAGATACACCTGAAGCCAGTACAAAAATGGTAGGTTGTGGCCATAGCAAACAACTGAGAATTGTTAAGAAGAGATGCACTTTGAACTATCATGAGTGTGTACAGAAGAGTTTACAGCTGCTAGTATACCATAAGCCATGGTTTTATTTCTGCTTGAGCTTAGTAGGGTGTGTAATAGTTTTCACATGTCATGCATGACGCAGTTCAGCTTTAACAGCCAGATGATGCGTGTCTCAAGGGGGCAGGTTACCAGACCCATCAAACACAACAACACACCCTCAGACTGGGTTTTTAACACTCCTTTAATGCTAGACAATACCCCTGGAACAGAAGCATGCTACAGAATAGCAGCAGTCTTGCAGACCCGATACCAAAGCAGCACCTGTGCAACTCAGTGGGGTCTCTTACAGTCCCACACCCAAGCTAGGAGTGGCTCTATTTATGCTGTTACGGAGTTTATATATGCTGTTATCGGAGTTGCCATGTGGTTTAAATTCTATGGTATCTACACAAGGTTAATTGTCTTGCCACAGAGGGCTCTTGTTTTCTTTCAACTTGATGCCTTGCATTTACCAAGGCTCATGCTTTTAAGACATGCAAGCACCTGAAAAGTGCTTTGCTTATTAGGTATGAGAACGGTACAGCTCATTATCGTAAGATGCAGGTAAGAGATACCATCTCTTGAAGGCCTATTACACACCTTCTCAGGGTGGCTCAAACAGCCCTAATCTGGTCCTTTGTCATGCACACAAGCTTTCTTTAGAACTCCTCTAGTTCCCAGGGCCCTTGAAAGCTTGTGTTACATAATGGTAAGATACACCAAAACACCTGTACCTTTCATATTTCTATTAGCACCTTCACAAGTATAAACAGCAGCAATTCTGAGGGTGGTATCAAACCTGTTTACTTAAATCAGATTATTTCTTTTTTCAGCTTACATTTCTTCCAACTCATTTCCATCACTCTTGCAAAATCAGTCACGGTCCTATTACACAGTTCTATCTTCTGACCCTCTGCTAAACACTACAAGTACTATGTAGTTGTAGCCTTGCCAGAAGGAACGAGGTAAAATAATGTGAAGTGCTTTGGTGGGAGTAAAGTGTTCTGGAAAGATAGTAAGTTTATTCATACATCCTCCATCTGGTCTTCTGCATTTCTGGAAGTGAGCGTAATTACACGCTGAAAAAAGGATCCTCAAAACTGGCTGCTTTAAATAGGCTCCTTCCCATTTTCAGATGGCTTTTGTCTTTCTTTTTTCTACCAAGTTCTTCAAAAAGAATTCACCTATTAAAAGGCAAAAAGTCACCAAAATTATTTGTAGGTATTTCAATAAAATAAAGCAAAACGACACACATTTTTTCTTAATGTGGGTATTCTATTCTACAATATAATTGTTCTTACCAGTATTTTATAGTAACTCAGTTCTGTACAACAGCACTTTCAATACATACAGCAGGGATGTAAGAAAAAGACACCCAAACCAAAACCTATACCCCAACAACCAATCCCTCCACCTCTAAAATCCTGGTTTTCCTTGTGCCCAATTAGATGAACTATCTCCGTTGTTCCATGCTTTCCAACAGGCAATGGCAAATTGAAGCAATTAAAAATGAATTCCAATTTCATAAAGTTATCAGCAATTTATAGTGAAACCTGCTATAAATCTCATTTGAGCTGGCATTAAAGCTGTCTGAGAAGCAAAGGTGCCCCAGATGACTGTTCTCTGTTCTCTTCTCAGGAAAAAGCAGGACGTTAGACCTACATAACAGTTCCGTTAGTACGAGCTGTTACTTAATACCCAGTGCTTTGTCAGAAACGGTACTGCTGCGTGTCTAATAATTTCTAAGCACTGTAAATAAGTTCTGCCTAAAGCAATACAACTGCATCATGAACAGCAAAGGGCCCCGTTAAAACATGAAGCACCCAAGAGGCAGAATGTAAAGGAAAACTTGCAGACTGGGTACCCTTTATCCTGCCTCGCACATTAAGGGTAGCACAAACTCTGGTTTGCAAAAAGTTAACTTAAGCAGCAGCAATTGTACAGCTACCAGTCAGTGTCACAGTGATGCTTGTAGGTGACCTATGGCAGACAGGAAGCGTAAATAATTAAAGAAAGAAACAGGTGAGCTTTGCTGCATATCACGTCACTGTTTTAACTTTATAGGATAAAGTGTTATGTGCTAAAGAATCTAATGCTTGTCAGTAATTACCTGCTTTGTAAGAGGAGCGCACTAATGGCCCACTAGCAGTGTAATGGAATCCGAGATCACTTCCTACTTTTTCCCAGTATTTAAATTTTCCAGGTGTTATGTATTCCTCAACCTGAGTGAAAAGAATTCATGTCGATCAGGTATGAATGCAAGGAAATGGCTATAGCTACTAGCATGTAGTGAAATTAAACACAGTTACATGGCAAATTCAAAATCTTACACTCCAAAACTTTTGGCAGTCAAGCCACAAACTGAATTTTCTCTGCTTTCTACCAACAGAATGCATTTTACCTGCTTTTCATATTTAGCCGAAAAGTTTAATTTCTAGTTGTTGGTTTACCATTTTCTTCACTCTATTTTTGAACAGTCCTTTTGAGCAAACCCTTTTTTGTCCAAGTTAGTAAAAGAAGCAAAACAGTCCTCCAAATCTCTTCACTGACAGCTGTTTCAGTGAAACACAGAAGCTGAACAGAGACACAAGCTCCAGAGAGAGGACAGAAGGAGAAAATGGCCATTTCCCCAGCTGAAGTGGGACCATTAAGGGAGAGCCTAGGAGACTGTGAAGGGGAGCTGGCCTGAACCATTACATTTGGGACATACACTGAAACTCTTGGTTCTCCAGAATCATGCCTCAGCTCCAGCATCTCCCCAGCTAAAAGCAGGAAGTAGCAGTGGGCAGTCTGCAGAAGATGGAGGGGATAAGATGGCTGAGGTCATTTTTAGTGAAGAGTCTGTAATAAACGTTGGTCAGGTTAGATGAGGAAGGCCAGTTAAGGTAAGGATGCAGTTTACAAGGAGGAGCGTGCACAGTGCAGGCCATAACACTGCCTGGAAATTAAAGGCATTTTTACCTTTAAGTGACGTTTTGTTGGTTGCATGTACTGTCCTAGGGTCAAACAATCCACATCTGCTTCCCGCAACACTGGAAAAAAGAAAAATTCCCTGTTAGCGGCAGAAGGATCACAAGGGCCTGTCAGCAATTAGAAACCAGCCTCCTTCCAAGCGTGAACAAAGGTCAGGCTGCAGCAGCCTGCAGGGTTTACGTTCTGCTCTGCAGCGAAGGGCCCCTGCAGCCTCGGTGAGCAGCAGCCGCACACCTCACTGATGCTGCTGCAAGACCCGAGCTTCCCAGTGGAGAGCCGGAGAGCAGAGCGTTGCGCTGCGCGCGCTGCAGTCGTGCCTCACTGCAGAGATGGCATGCTCTCGGCTTTTTTTGTCTTACTGATTCGCATCGTGTCTATAGGTCACAGCCTTCATTTCACAAAAAAATGGATGCATGCACGTACACTTGGCACTTCTACACTGTTTCAAGAGACCTGATGCCGAAAAGATATAGACAGTTTTAAAAGCTATAAATCAGGGGAAATCAACATCTTTTGCTGGTTTTACACACTTGGGATGAACACTAGTTTTGAAGCCTGCAGAATCTCATAAGCTTTGTCTGCTAAAATTTAAGTATATACCAGAACCAACATACAGCACATGTGTTCAGGTAGTTTGCTTACAGAGGAAAATCCAACCTCTGGATAGTCAGCTGGCCTGAACAATCACGTTCACTGTAGCTAGAGGGGTATTCTGAACAAAGGGATAGCTGAGGAGTCAGATTTTGCACAGACATCTCCATTTATTTCCTGGCCACTTGGGCTGGTTGCCCCACATCAAATAGGAAAAAAAGACTGATAGATTGATACAGTTCTGTAAATCAACTGATTCAGTATCAGTGCATTTACATGTTCTTTAACTCACACCCAGAGGATGGAGGGGGAATGGAATCAGAATAACTGAAAGAATGGTGTGGATAAGATTTTGTCTCCAAATACAGCCATGAATGTAGCCTGAAAACAAAAGGCAGTGAATCTGAAATTTCATATTCTTGTGGCTAGGAAATACTAGGCAGGAAGAAAGGGAAAATCAGGAACTATAATTTTATGGTCTGTATTGTGGGACAGCTGCAGAAAAACTAGACTCTATCACTGCATTCCAAGTATGGGTTGTTGTACACAAAGTACTGGGTAGACATTCTTCCAGGATAGGGGAGAAATACCAGAAGATTTAAGAACTGCTTCTTCTTAAAAGCACATTGCATTCAGTTACCACTGAATACCTCTTAAAAATACATTTACATGGAAACATAAGAACATGCTACAGCTCCAAGGATAATAACTGGTTTTGTGCTAAGTAAGATGAAACAAATGATTTTAAACAATCAGGCCTGCTGTTTTGAAAAAGGAACGCGCAATAAGGCAACTATGTTGCAAGCCCATTATTGAAGTATTGCAAAGGTAAGAATGTCAATATAGTCAACAAAACCAGTTATAATTTCCACTGAAATCAACTCAAGCTGGATCTACCTGTTAAATTGCATCTGAAAGCCGCATGAAGGAAAAGTATTTCAGAAGTTCAATTATTTTTAACAAAAAAAAGGAAAATGTCACTAAACATGCAGCTTCAAAATTGAGATAGTCCTGAAACCTGTGGGGTCTTTTTCCCCCATAAAGCTTAGAAAATGTCTCCTGCACCAGCAAACTGGTTTGCATGTTGAGGCAAAGATGCTTACAACTGTTTTCCAGCACAACAAAATTCGTACCTGTGAATTTTGGCATGTATTTCAACACCAACTTACATTTCATCGTGGAATATACTTGTTCATCAGTCTCGCCTAGCCCCAGCATGATGGAGGTTTTAGTAATGACGCGGGGCTGGACCTCTTTGGCGTGCTTCAGAACACGTACGGACTGCTCGAAGTTGGCTCGGGGATCACGGACCTTCCTTTTCGCATTGTCAGCACGAGTGGGGAAAAAGCGTCACAGAAGTTAGAGACGTCGAGAGAGGCGCGTTCTAGCTTCTACGAAGTGAAAATGGCAGCTTGGAGGGTGCCGCTTACACCCCCCGTGTAAGCCAGTCCCCAGACCGAGCCCCCGGCCCCCGGCGGGGTGCCGCTGAGGAAGC